GATAAAGCTTCATTTAATAAATCATTATCTCTTTCAAATGAATGAACTCTGTAAAGATAAAAGTAAAAAGCTAGTTCTTTAAAGCTAAAAAATAACTTAGTTCTTCATATATAGTAAACAATATTACAATAAATTTATGTAATTCTACAAAAATTCTTTTTCATTATTATTACGAGTAAGTAAATAATGCTTAACAACTGATTTTTTAAAGTCAGTAACCTATAAAGTTTGTTATTAAAGTTATTAAGATAATAAAGTATACAAAGAGCTTTGTTATATACCTTTATCATATTATTAATAAAAGCTTTATTTTATTATAATCTCTTTCTTGGATTGTTGGTTCATGAGTTATAAACTTATTATATACTTCTAATAACAAATAGCTTTTAACAAAATCACTATTTGTGCCTGGAGTGAGATCTAATATGTCATAATATATGAGACTGTTGCAAAACTTATTAGTAAAATAAATCTTAGTGTAGCTTAAAAATTATTATTTTAAAAAAAATATACTCATCACAAAGTATATTATTTTTTAATTTCCAATTCAATAGCGATTCTCTAACTTTAAAGTTTCTGATAATCAAATCCTCATCTGTATTTAGGCTTTTCTTTGTTAAAAGTTCAAATGTGGAATCTTTTTGATTACGCTGTTTTTTTATTCTATCATCATTAAATAAACATGCCTATTGAGAAAATTATATTCATATATTTTAAAACTAAATATATTAGCTAACTTAAAGATAATGAATTCAGCATAATAAATACAGTACAACTTACAGTATTTGCTTTCTCATTATTTCTTTTCAACGAAGATGGTTTATATTAAAAATCATTTAACTTGTCATTAATCATTTGCACTGTGACTTCTGATCCATATAAATTTGTTTTGGCATCAAATATATTTATATTGGCCTATAAATTTGCTAAAATTAGTTGATATTATTATATTAATTAATGATATAGATTAACATGCATAATTTACCTTCTCATCCATCTGAACAAAAAGTGCTACAATTTCTTTGAATTCAAAGTTCCTCTCCGCATTTTTGTAAAGTCTTGTCGCTTTATCACGGGCTTTTTTGTTTAATGACCGATTAACAGATGCTGAATGTAATTGCTTCTTGAATTCTATTAAAATTTCTTCTTTATTTTCAGATACTATCCCAAGGCAATTATTTTTATTCAAAAATTTAAGACAATCAATAATGTTCCAGTTTGCATAGTTTACTTTACTCAAATAATCAGCAATCCCGCTTGAAATGTCCATGCTAAAAAAAAAAAATAATCAATATTGTTAAAATTAGGAATTAAAAAATTTTATCGTTAGAATCACGTATAGCAATGACATAATGAATTTCTGGAAAGAAATTGTCAACCTCATATGCTAAGCATTTCCTAGCAGGAGCTTGATTATTTTTTCCAAACATTGATCGAAGGAGGTCCACATCAATGGAACAATTCCAATGCATCCATTAAGTCCAATATATTGGAATAAGATTGCCTAGCAAAATATGACATTCTCTTCCAAACATCAACCAAGAGAGGTCTACATAAGTAGAACAGTTCCCACGCATCATAGGATATTGTGAAATGCCACAGGTGCAAACAACAAAAGCCCTTTCCTTTTTTTATATGCAGTAATCTCTTCTAATAAATCTTTGAAAGTTAAAATATCAATACGTGCTTCTGAAATTTGTTCTGCGAATTTTGTGTTTCAAATGAAAAAGGGGTGAGAATTTAAAATTGGACCTGGGTAAAAAAATATTGAGATAACGATAATCATATTATTAATGTTAAATCATATAATTATAATTTGAAATTATTGTATATAGTTTTGCTTTATATTGATATGGGGTCTTGGGTCCTTATGTTGATTATGACGACCACAAGACTACTTAATTTATTGACAAGCAATCGATTTTATTCAAAGCAAGCTTCTATTTATATAAGACTATCAAACGCAAACTACA